GATGTCAGTGACTTTCTTGGGTAACAATACTGCCATCCAGGAGCTGTTCCGACGCATTTCGGAGCAGTTCACCGCTATGTTCCGGCGTAAGGCATTTTTGCATTGGTACACTGGTGAGGGTATGGACGAGATGGAGTTCACGGAAGCTGAGTCAAACATGAATGATTTGGTAAGTGAGTATCAACAATACCAAGATGCCACGTTGGATGATGAGAATGATTTCGGCGAAGAGGCTGACGAGGAAGATTGAACGAGCAAAGAGTTTGTATTCTTTATGAAAAAATCTTACAAGATGCAACCGAAGCAATGTCAAGACACTTGTTTATCTAATACATTTCATTTACAGTTTTCCCTAGACTTGTTGTTTACACGTCAGTTTCCCGTTACATGTTCGTTGAGACGAAAAGAAGTTATGCTATCGACTTTTCGGACCAGCAGAAGAACGGACTAATGTGAAATTCATAGGAGTTTATTCTTTCTTTCAGTGCCCCATCACGATGAGACTGTCCCTTGACTTGGTTTGATCGCTTGTGCACCTATGTGCCCCAACGATTTAAACGCGACGGATTTTGGAACTAATTGTAACTCGGTATGCAGATGTTGATGTTGGTGTGTTCTCCGTGGTGAAAGTGTTGTTTGCAGACGTTTCGTCGCCAGGCTAGGCAACATCATCAGTTTACCAATGCTTTTTGAACCTTCAAATTGTAAAGTGTTGTTATAAGGTCAGGTTATCCCAGCTCCCAATCTCATTCTAACCGGGGAAGTAGTAGAGGAAGTAGACAAATATTTTTTGTTCTGGCAGCTATATGTCACATAACGGATGCGTTACAGATGAAGTGTAGACACGCATACAGATGACTCCGTTAGGCCAGTCGTGCTCTTCTGTGCACGGACTTCGCAATTACGGGAACCGGATGAAAATGTATTATCGGTGTTCGAACACCACTTTCTATGCCGAATTGCACGAATCCGGTGGGAAAACCGGACAGGTACTGCTAAGGTTTGTCGCTGAGTTTTGGGTAATGCAGTCGTCTGCTAGAACAAATAGTCGATCTCCATAGACTACGGTGATTGAAACATGTATTGCGCATGTCACCAAATGAGTTACCACGCGCTTGATGTTTGCCGAGGCGATAAGAAGTTGGACAAAGGTCAAGGGTGGTCAAACTAAGACCTGGCATGAGAGAATAAAAAGCCTAACTCGGACTCTGGGTCAAGTAGGTACCATTAGGCTTCCAGAGTTGGGCGCACGTGTATCTTCCCATTATTCTTGTTGGATCAAATTAGACGTGTATTCGGTAGGTAATTTTGCTTGTAGGGCCGAACTCGTAGTTCATCGAGGGCATCACATTTCGCAGGAGTCAGTATTCTTGACGTGACAAAAGTGAAAAATCTTAATCTACCAAAATCAACATATGAACGGGTGGCGACAGTAACTCCAGTTTAGGAAAAGCCTCACGAAAACTGCTGGGCCAAAACAGCCAAGGAAGCGGAAGTGGCTTCTGCATCAGAAGATATGAGTATTTTGTACGGTAGACCAATATCGTCGAATGATTCAGGATTCGTAAAGTGCCACAAATTGGACTCAATCGCATAATCCTTGTGAGATGCGCATCCTAGGTTAGCGTATAAGGCCACGTAAAACACTCATAAAGGATTCAAATGGAAAAGCAGAAAAACTGGATAGGGACCATACAATTTTATATCATCACAGGAATAATAAATGCTACAAACATTGAAAACAAATCTTTAGCACCGTAAATCTGTTGAAAGTCACTAAGAGTTTCCAATAACTTATGAAAAATATAGTCATTGTAACGCGTGGTCCAAACATCTGAAGACAAAATTTAAAAACCAAGCGAAGAACTGACAAGATTATAGTAGATTTTATTGAGCAGTTCAGTACACATCACAATTGGTCTTATATGCACAATAAATTTATGAAATTCCGTTGCCTTCCAAATGCTCGTAGTCATTACAATGGCTATACTTGCGTGGAAAGTGAAAGTGAACCACAAGCTGGATTTCGAAAAGGTCGCGGTTGCATCGACCCTGCGTCAAGTCCTCGAATTGCGCCACACACATGGTCGACCAACAATCTCTATGTTCCTGGCCTTCGATTTTTTAGGGTGACTGGTCGTCTGAGAATGAGATGGACGAGAGAAGGTCAATGGAATCGGACTGCGCAAACTAATGCGGGATAAGTTCTGTTTTCATAATCACGAAGGTGTTAACTTCTGTGATACTTCACCACCATTAAGGGAGATGAGTATTCGGTTTGGTGGATAAGCATAGTTCCTGTCTCGGGTGTACAAAGCATAATTTGCCTCAGTCGTTTAGACAGGTTTATCGGGGTTCCCTAGGTGAGCCAAATGACCTTTCAACATCTACCGTATACTCACTCGTTTTGACTATATGCTCCACAATTGAGCTACGAATGATCTTTGTTAGTCCTGCTCTCAAACAGGCCGTGTAATGCTCTTAAATCCGTGTGGTCGACTGGTAGGACTGATGTGATCAGCTGCTCAGGAGCAAGTGATCAACACATGAAGGTGATTGACAGTGTCAGTCGATCTTTAAGTCTCTGAACAATAACCGGATAGGATGAGTAGGATATTTTCAATTCGACTGTGTGAAATGTGGATTTTAGTGCTTTTGAGGGCCTCTTTTCTTATAGTTTACTGACACCGTCATTGACGAAAAGTAGATTGATAAATGCTTTTCCGTATGGACGGATTGGAGTTTACTCTTTTGCGATTTCATTTACACATACGCTGATGAACTTGTCCGGGTATCCATTCTCTCGGAAAGTGCCTTGTTATTGCTTTCATTCATCTACCAATGTTCCTTTGAAACGAATCATTCTTGCTCGATGGGCGAGATAACACACTCGGTTCCGTTTCTGCATGATGATTGCTGCACTGTGGAAGTTCATCTGTCGCTTAATTTAGATATGCTTCTATCAACGGTTCCATCCTCGTTTCGGGTAAACCGCATGCCGAGAAAAGGAATATATCCGTCCTTATCGAGCTCCAGTGTAAATTATTTCGTCTCTAGTTGCCTCGTTGAACGTCAAAAACAGTTGTGAAACATTTATTGTTGCATTTCTAATTACAGAAACATTACCAACGTAGTGACAATATGTATCCAGTTCAGAGATCTTGTCTTTTGGATCGTGGTTTTCAAAATTCACCATATAAAAATTATGCTACTAATGAACCAGGTGGTGAACCCATTGCCACACCATATGTTTTGGCTGTTACGCTTGGGAATTTGGCTTGTTTAGTTTGTAAACTTCACTGATAAGTGTATCTCTAGTTATTCTTCTCGCCCTTTATTTTGGTTACCATGGGTTTTTTCCTGTAGTTTTTGGCTACATTCCGGCCGGATAGCGACTCATACTAATTGTTAGACGATTTCTCTGTGTGCATAACCCAAAAGTACCA